TTTTTTGTTTAAAAGCAGAGGCTCTGTTCTTTCTTTTGACATATTGCATGTTCAGATATTCATACAACAAAATAATCTGAGCACCATGAAATTTGTGTGAAAATGATCAGAAACGCTGGCGGTGAAAGAGTTAACCACCAAGCCACGCTATCTTAGCATTAATGCGTCATATGATGTGATTATGCTGTCATTGTTTCGTGTCGGCGACGTCTTTACCTTAAACAGAAACCCAAAGCCCATGATCAGATATGAAGGGGGCAAAAAGTTTTTCTTCCCTGTGGAAAAGTGATACAAAACATTAATTGTTTCATATTGCAAACTTTTGAACAAGATATGAAGCAACTTTAGTGTTGGAAGTGGGATCCAGACACAGGTAAGACCTCTTCATTTTAATATAATATATATATATATATATATATATATATCCATGTAATGCACAGTAATATTCACCTCTGATCATGAAGCTGCCGGTGGTCAGATACTCTCCCGTCGGCGCGGTTTTGGACACCTGTGTGAGATGAAGCACATGAGCGTCTGAACTCAACGACACCTGCTTCTGTGTGTGCCGCCGCTCACCTGATGATGGTGAACCCACCACGCGCTGGTGACCACTTTAGCATCCCACGCTGCGCTGTAGCACACGGCCATCGTCCCGGCCTCGGTGAGCGTCCGCGGAGGAACAGCCTCGCCTGAGAAACAGAAGCTCAGTCACAGATCCTGCTGTGTGTTTGGATGAAAGAGTTTCACACACGAGCAGCACAAACAGCACGTCAGGACTGAAACATCTGCCAAATGCGTCAATGTAACGAGTCAGTCACCTGATCAGAATCACTTCAGTGATTTCTATGAATTAAAATGTCTCATCTGAATCTGACAAACATCAGATCGATGTTCACCTTTAGAAAGTTGAGTTTAGTGATAAGTCCTCACCAGACGGGTTCTTGATCACGCAGCTCGTGGCTCCGTGCAGATCGGCATGAACGTAAACGTCCCCTGAGGAAACACATGGCAGCACAGGATTCAGAGAAACAGAGGAACCCTCGGGAGAGCATCATGGGAGCGGAGGAAGCTTCGGTCTGACCTGCTCTCAGGTAGCGCTTGACGATCATCTCGTTCTGCTGCTGGTCTCGTCCTGCGATGATCAGGTAGTTCTCGGAGCTGACGAACCACAGAAACTTCTCAAACCTGAACACAGACGTGCCGGATCAGAGAAACACACACAACACAACACAGCGGACGGACGGATGTTTGTCTTTACCAGTACACCTTCCTGGCCTTCTGGATGCTGGTCACTGTCTGCACTTCTTTAAGTGTTTGTTTGGTCTTTTTCTCAGCAGATTTGAAGGCCTCGAGTCGAAACAAACACAAAGCACACATTTAACAAACCTGCAGCCAAAACTAAACACACACGTCGTCCACCAGTCACGTGTCTGCTCACCTTCTGTGCCGCTTCCACAGTTTTCTGCTCTTTCTTGGCCGCGTTTCTCTTGCTGTCGTAATACCTGACGAGAGACTCGTGCTTCAGTAAACGTGTCATTCAGACAGAATGAAGCTCACGTCTGATCGCAGTATTCACGTGTAAACTCACTTCTTTGCATTGGCGTAAGCCGAGAGATTCAGATCGACGTCCACTAGGACCGGTTTGTCCTTCTCGACTTTTCCTTTCTGTCCTTTGTCTTTGTTCTTACCCTTTTTCCCCTTCTGCGCTTCCAATGCCTCCACAGTCTTTCTGGCATCCGTGTCTTCTGCCTCTCTGTCCTCAGAACCAGCGTACGGGTTTCTGAAAGAGACACGAGGATCCGGTCAAACTAAGACATGATGAAGAGGCATCTGATGCTGTGTATCTGAAAGCTCTCACTTCAGCAGCATAGTGATGTGATTGCTCTGCAGCTTGAGCTCTTTAATGGCACAGGCCACGGGATCTCCAGCCGCCTGAGCTTCCTTCACGATCTGACCGATCTCGGCCCAGTCCACCTGATTGGCCAGAGCGCTGCGCACCACCTGAAGAGCTCTGTCCACTATGTGAAGGTTCATCTCCACCAGCTCTCCCTTCAGCCGGTCCACTTCCTACAACACAAACGCTCTTTAAATGTTTCTCTGGTTCATTACTGTGTGACTGAAACGTGTCCAAGCCTCTGAGACTCAGACTGAAAGGTAAACACCGACTGACACCTGAGCCTGATGAAGCGCCTGCAGCCGCTGCTCGTGATCTCGTCTGACGTTATCCAGCTTCTTCAGCGCGTGTTTCTCCTGCTGCAGCGCTTTCACGTCCAGCTTCTGACTCTCCATCTTAGAGAAGAACTCATCCACTGCCTGAGATCAGATGAAAGAAGATTGTGTTTAATTCATTTTACAAAAATAAGGCTTGAATAGCCCTGCTCCAAACCACTAGAAATACAGAAATATCTTATACTGTACCTTCTGATCTCACTGCAAACTGCTGTTCTTTCTCAGTATTTCGGTCTTGTTTTCCAGCGCAAATATCTAAAGATTCTTAAATCAAGACACATTTACTGGAGAAACAAAATGACAGAAAAAGTCTTGTTTTCTGCGAAACTGATCAACGTTAAGTGAGTTTATGGTTAAAACAAGAACAAATATCTGCTAGTGGGGTCAGAAAAATAAACTTAATTCAAAGGGAAGATAAGTTTTCTGACCCCACCGACAGATATTTGTTCTTGTTTTAATCATAAACTCACTTAATTTTGTAAAATTTTTCAAGACCTCATTTACATTAGCATTAGTAAACATGTCTTGATTTAAGGGTGTTTAGATATTTGTATTAGAAAACAAGACAAAAATACTGAGGAAGACTTCTTTTTTGCTGTGATGCAACTTTTAACGCCATGACTATACATTTAATTGTTTCTGCTCTGATTTAAGAGTTTTTTTTAAATGAGAAACATCTTGCAGATTCTGAAAGGGGGATGTATTCCACATCTGCAGCGTGTGCAACTACTAACCTTGTTAAAAGACTCAAACTCAACAGAGCGGCTTTTTTCATGTTGGCAAAACAGAAATGGATGAAATTCTTCATATCTGTTAAACAAAAGAGGATCAATTATTGCACATGACAGAAAAGCTCTGTTTATCAACAGCATGATAAAATACGACCGGAAGAAAGAAGAGTGATGAAATCAGATCATCATACGTGAGCAACTCTTCCTCAGCTTCATCTGGACTCATGCTGGGCTTCTTCTCACTCTTCTGAACGATGTAGCCCTGAGAGTGGACAGATGTGAACAGACGAGCATCAGATAGCGATCGAGCCACAGGTTAGGAATGCGTTCTCGTCATCGTTCATAAGTCACGCTCACCCTTCCGCTGAAGTTGGCCGTTTTCTCCATATAATCTTCAGCCATCTGCAAGGCCTCCAGGATCTTCGGACTTACTGCAAAGGACAAGGAGACCATCATAACACACAGCTACTCCAGCAACCAGTCCCTGCCATTGGTTTACATGAATGCAGAGGATTTTTACCCTGCGTGACTTCAAGCTGGCTGTCCACTTTACAGAGACCTGGCAACCCGACCGCCATGAGACAGTGTTCGATGAGAGAGCCACCGTACGCTGCACAAACACACAACATGATCAGCACGGACTGTGTGAGTGTGAGTGTGTGTGTGCGTGCGCGTGTAACAGTCGTTCACAATGACACATAAAGCACGTGACATACGCAGATGAGGATTCAGAACCCGCTTCACTTGCTCTTCACTCTGAGCTTCAGACAAGATCTCTGTGAGTCTGAGAAGAGAAACATGAGCCGTGGTCATCTGTCATGATAAACACACACATTTACATCCGTGTGGCGTGACGTGTACCTGCCCAGGCTGATGAGCGACTCCTGCGGTCTGGCGTTCTCCACGGGATACCGCTCCCTCACAGCGATCTTCACATCCACGTCCTCGGCCTCAGCGGTGCGGAAGCGCAGAAGATTCAGGATGGTGAACTCATGATCCGTCAGGATGATGTTCCCCTGTGTGTGTGTGTGTGAGAGTGTGTGAGAGTGTGTGTGTGAGTGTGGGAGTGTGTGTGTGAGAGTGTGTGTAGTGTGTGTGTGTGTAGTGTGTGAGAGAGTGTGTAGTGTGTGTGTGTGTAGTGTGTGAGAGAGTGTGTGTGTGTGTGTAGTGTGTGTGTAGTGTGTGAGAGTGTGTGTGTGTAGTGTGTGAGAGTGTGTGTGTGTAGTGTGTGAGTGTGTGTAGTGTGTGAGAGTGTGTGTGTGTAGTGTGTGAGTGTGTGTAGTGTGTGAGAGTGTGTGTGTGTAGTGTGTGAGTGTGTGTAGTGTGTGAGAGTGTGTGTGTGTAGTGTGTGAGTGTGTGTAGTGTGTGAGAGTGTGTGGTGTGTGAGAGTGTGTGTGTGTAGTGTGTGAGAGTGTGTGTGTGTCACTCACTTCTGCAGCTTGATCAGGTATGTTTTAGTGTCGATGTCATAGACGTTGTTGACTCTCATCCCGACACACCTGCACACAAACACACAACATCAGTATTATTAGTCTCACTCACAACAAAATAGATAAACCTGATCACATTACTGACGATATTAAAGTTCTTACTTCGCATTGATTTCTGCAATCACCGCCCTGATATCCACCGTATTAAACCTGCTCTTCATGACTGATTATTATGAATTATGATAACAAACTCTGAGTTCGCACATCTGACACGACGGGCTCCGCGCTGATTGTGCGCATGCGCATCTGTCTGTGTACGGAAGCCCGTTTGCGTTTTTACCGGAGCGAGCCGTAAATGCAATAATATTACACGATTAAAAATAAATCAAATAGATCGATATTTAAACCTGATAACAGTAATGATGATGATGATAATAACACAGATGTAAAACGCGACGTGGTGATGCGACAGCTGTTCGGTTTATTCATTTAGATTCAGGAAACGCGTTCAGTTTGAACACTAATGTGTGTAAACGCGCTGAAATGAGTCTGAAGCGGGAAAACACTCGATCCGAGCGCAAGACTCTGTCACTGTCACACAGAGGTGAGGATCTTTGATATCGATGATATGAATGTGATATTAAAGCCAGAGCTCACGGTGATCGCTGAAGAGCGCGACCTCTGGCTGCAGGTCAGAGTTCAGGCGCGCGTCGTTGCCATGGAGACCGGCGCTGACGCGTCACCGATCGATCAAACGAACCTGTACCGAATCAAAGCTTGCGTTTGTTCTGATAAGATGTGAATTAAAGCTGACATGCGACGGCGCCGGCTGAGGAATGAACAGTAAGAGCCGCTCGTGTTCCGCTGTTGATCATGTTTCATGTATTTCACTCTGATCTGCTGTAGATTACAGGATCATCAGGAAGATCGGAGAGGGAACGTTCTCTGACGTCATGAAGGTCCAGAGTCTGAAGGACGGCAAACATTACGCCTGTAAAACCATGAAGCAGACCATCGAGAGGTATGACGTCACTAGTAACCGGCCGTGTGTGTGTGTGTGTGTGTGTGTGTCTGTGTGTGTGTGGGAGTGAGTGTGTGTGTGTGTGTCTGAGTGTCTGAGTGTGTGTGTGTGTGTGTGTGTGTCTGAGTGTCTGTGTGTGTGTGTGTGTGTGTGTGTGTGTCTGTGTGTGTGTGGGAGTGAGTGTGTGTGTGTGTGTCTGAGTGTCTGAGTGTGTGTGTGTGTGTGTGTGTGTCTGAGTGTCTGTGTGTGTGTGTGTGTGTGTGTGTGTGTCTGTGTGTGTGTGGGAGTGAGTGTGTGTGTGTGTGTCTGAGTGTCTGAGTGTGTGTGTGTGTGTGTGTGTGTCTGAGTGTCTGTGTGTGTGTGTGTGTGTGTGTGTGTGTCTGTGTGTGTGTGGGAGTGAGTGTGTGTGTGTGTGTCTGAGTGTCTGAGTGTGTGTGTGTGTGTGTGTGTGTCTGAGTGTCTGTGTGTGTGTGTGTGTGTGTGTGTGTGTCTGTGTGTGTGTGGGAGTGAGTGTGTGTGTGTGTGTCTGAGTGTCTGAGTGTGTGTGTGTGTGTGTGTGTGTCTGAGTGTCTGTGTGTGTGTGTGTGTGTGTGTGTGTGTCTGTGTGTGTGTGGGAGTGAGTGTGTGTGTGTGTGTCTGAGTGTCTGAGTGTGTGTGTGTGTGTGTGTGTGTCTGAGTGTCTGTGTGTGTGTGTGTGTGTGTGTGTGTGTCTGTGTGTGTGTGGGAGTGAGTGTGTGTGTGTGTGTCTGAGTGTCTGAGTGTGTGTGTGTGTGTGTGTGTGTCTGAGTGTCTGTGTGTGTGTGTGTGTGTGTGTGTGTGTCTGTGTGTGTGTGGGAGTGAGTGTGTGTGTGTGTGTCTGAGTGTCTGAGTGTGTGTGTGTGTGTGTGTGTGTCTGAGTGTCTGTGTGTGTGTGTGTGTGTGTGTGTGTGTCTGTGTGTGTGTGGGAGTGAGTGTGTGTGTGTGTGTCTGAGTGTCTGAGTGTGTGTGTGTGTGTGTGTGTGTCTGAGTGTCTGTGTGTGTGTGTGTGTGTGTGTGTGTGTCTGTGTGTGTGTGGGAGTGAGTGTGTGTGTGTGTGTCTGAGTGTCTGAGTGTGTGTGTGTGTGTGTGTGTGTCTGAGTGTCTGTGTGTGTGTGTGTGTGTGTGTGTGTGTCTGTGTGTGTGTGGGAGTGAGTGTGTGTGTGTGTGTCTGAGTGTCTGAGTGTGTGTGTGTGTGTGTGTGTGTCTGAGTGTCTGTGTGTGTGTGTGTGTGTGTGTGTGTGTCTGTGTGTGTGTGGGAGTGAGTGTGTGTGTGTGTGTCTGAGTGTCTGAGTGTGTGTGTGTGTGTGTGTGTGTCTGAGTGTCTGTGTGTGTGTGTGTGTGTGTGTGTGTGTCTGTGTGTGTGTGGGAGTGAGTGTGTGTGTGTGTGTCTGAGTGTCTGAGTGTGTGTGTGTGTGTGTGTGTGTCTGAGTGTCTGTGTGTGTGTGTGTGTGTGTGTGTGTGTCTGTGTGTGTGTGGGAGTGAGTGTGTGTGTGTGTGTCTGAGTGTCTGAGTGTGTGTGTGTGTGTGTGTGTGTCTGAGTGTCTGTGTGTGTGTGTGTGTGTGTGTGTGTGTCTGTGTGTGTGTGGGAGTGAGTGTGTGTGTGTGTGTCTGAGTGTCTGAGTGTGTGTGTGTGTGTGTGTGTGTCTGAGTGTCTGTGTGTGTGTGTGTGTGTGTGTGTGTGTCTGTGTGTGTGTGGGAGTGAGTGTGTGTGTGTGTGTCTGAGTGTCTGAGTGTGTGTGTGTGTGTGTGTGTGTCTGAGTGTCTGTGTGTGTGTGTGTGTGTGTGTGTGTGTCTGTGTGTGTGTGGGAGTGAGTGTGTGTGTGTGTGTCTGAGTGTCTGAGTGTGTGTGTGTGTGTGTGTGTGTCTGAGTGTCTGTGTGTGTGTGTGTGTGTGTGTGTGTGTCTGTGTGTGTCTGTGTGTGGGAGTGTCTGTGTGTGGGAGTGAGTGTGTGTGTGTGTGTCTGAGTGTGTGTGATAAACACATTGTTTTTCATGCCCTCTGCTGCTCTTCTGACTCATTCGTCTGGTTACTGACATGAGCAGTAATACTGTATGCTGATTGTTGTCAGTGTGGATCAGGCTCACAGTCTCCGGGAGGTTCAAGCCATGAAGCGTTTGAGTCCCCATCCCAACATCATCCAGCTTCATGAGCTCATTTAGTGAGTATTTATTAACAACTCAGTTCTGAATGAGTGAATGAATATTAATATGTGTTGAACTGATCACACACTCTGCTTTACAGCGATAAAGACACGGGAACGCTGTCACTCATCTGTGAGCTCATGGAGATGAACATATACGAGTTTATTAAAGGTACGGTACGGTGTGTTTGCTGTGATGAAATGCTTCACACGGAAGTAAACGTGTCTTGTGTTCCTCCTGCAGGCCGTCAGTGTCCTCTAGCGGAGAGTAAAGTCAAGCACTACATGTTCCAGCTGTGCCGCTCTTTGGATCACATGCACAGGTGACACTCGTGAACACACACACACACACACTACACACACTCTCACACACCACACACACACACACACACACAAACACACACACACACACACTACACACACTCTCACACACCACACACACACACACACACACAAACACACACACACACACACTACACACACTCTATACACACAAACACTATACACACAAACACACTCACACACTATACACACACACACACTATACACACATACACACTATATACACACACACTATACACGCACACACACCCTATACACACACTCACACACAAACACACACTATACACACTATATACACACACACACACACCCTATACACCCCATACACGCTATATTCACCCTCAAGACTCATATACACACACACACACTCGGACTCATACACACACATTCAGACTCACTCACACTTAGACACACACACTCAGACTGTCTCTCAGACTCACACACACACACACACAGACTCACACTTAGAAACACACAATTTAGACTCACACACACTCAGACTCACACTTAGACACACAATTTGACTCTCACACACACACACATACAGACTCACTCACACACATACTCAAACACACCCACACACTCAGACTCAAACGTAGACACAAAATTTAGAATCACACACAGTTTAGACTCACACACACATTCAGACTCACTCACACTCAAGACTCACATACACACACCACACACACACACACACACACAAACACACACACACACACACTACACACACTCTCACACACTCTCAGCCTCCTCATGAGTGATGATACTGACACTTATCTGGTCATTCTGAACGCAGCCATGGCATATTCCACAGAGACGTGAAGCCAGAGAACATCTTGATCAAAGTAAGGCCATCCAGACTATGTGATTTTTTTCATCATTATTTGTTTGTGACAATAAGTGTGCACGTATATGTTCAGTCACTTCTGCTGTCTCTCACAGAACGATGTGCTGAAGCTGGCAGACTTCGGCTCCTGCAGGAGCATCTTCTCCAGACCTCCTCACACCGAGTACATCTCCACACGCTGGTACCGCGCGCCCGAGTGCCTGCTGACCGACGGACACTACTCGCAGAAGATGGACATGTGGAGCGCCGGATGCGTCTTCTTCGAGATCCTCAGGTGCTTCCATCGTGCCGTGAGCGGTGTGGCGTTTGTTCCTCGATTTGTTGTCATGTTCTAATCAGTCGTTTCCATGTCTTCTAGTCTGAGCCCTTTATTCCCCGGCCGAAACGAGTTAGACCAGGTCAGCAAAATCCACGATGTGCTGGGCACGCCGGACAGCTCGCTGCTGCAGAAGTTCAAACAGTGAGAACAAACTCATCAAAACAATATTTCAGACATCCCTCTGCCCTGAAGAGAGAAAAGAGACCAAAGCAGCATCCAGCAGACTAAGAGCACAAACACAGTCACATGTAGACACAGAACGGACCAGCGCACAGCATGCAGGCTTGATGAGAGTGACTCGTGAACGCCGGCAGTTATTAAAGCTTAGCTTAAAGGTGTGCGATTAAAAAAATAGTGATTATGAACATCTGAGATGAGGATTGCACCTGACTCTGACTCAACAAGCAGATGATGTGTATAATAATGCGTAGTTGTAATGTATAGCATTTAGACCCAAGGCCATTATCAAAATGACAGAATGCTTAATTTCCCAAAAAGGAGTTTCATTTTTAGCTAAAATAATGTTTAATTCATGGTTTAAATGTTGTGTTGAAGGTCCCGTGCGATGCGCTTCGACTTCCCTCCTCGCAGAGGCTGTGGGATCTCCCAGCTGATCCCTCAGTGCTCTGCAGCCGCTCTGTCTCTGCTGCACCAGATGTTGACCTACGACCCCGAGGAGCGCATCAGCGCCCGCACAGCGCTGCAGCACCCCTGCTTCAGAGAACTGCGGTATGAACACACCTCCAGACTGACACAGAAGCATTAAAGCATGCTGCAGAAAAACAGTTTCACTTAAAGATGCTCTCAGGCACTGTTTGCTCATGAAAACATTTTACCCGCAAATTGCATTTTTCAGTGATGTGAGATCAGTGGTAAAGCAGGTAAAAGCTGTGTTTATGAACACAGGATCAGCCTGATGTCACTGTTATCAGACACTCTGGCTTTCAGAATAAAGCGTAAGATCAGTAACTCGAGGCTTCCTTTCAGTGCAGCTGTTTGTCAGTCAGTACAGAATCAGTCGAACCACACGTGTGGCCTGTACCTGTTGCAGCACTGCTTCAGCTCTTTCTGTGGTGTTTTCTGCAGGATGTGTGAGAGGAAAGCAGCGAGTCTGCGGAAGGCGATCGGAGCTGTCGAGGGAGAATCCGTGGATCAGCTGTGGAGAATCGCACGGCAGGGAAGACGACAGGTACCTCTTCACAGCACGCCAGTAGATGTTAGACAAAATAAAAATCCTTTGCTGAATATTAAGAATGCACAGTGTTTTTTGAAGAAGAAAAATTGAGAAAATTCCAATAATGCAATAATCCAGTCAGGGATCGGCCTGAACAAACACGGAAGCATTTGAGATTAATCACATACACGCGCAACATAAACGGCATTTTATAACTTTCATTTGCACAAAATAACACAAAAGGACACGTGAACTGTTGTGAACGCACTCTTTCCATCACAATGAGCAAAAACACAGACAATGAAGAATGAAAACAAAGCATGCTTAATGCTGTCTGTCTTTCGACTGGAGGTCATTTCTGTTGTTGATTTCAGTTAATACATAAAACCTTTGGATATTATTGAATTTCAGTTGTACTTTGTCGTCACCTAATGAACACATTGTTTTGTCTTCTTTCATTGAAAAGAAACTAAATGCATTTTGACAGAAAGCAGCATAAAGAGTCAATTCTCAGCTCATAATTTGCAGTTGTGATGAAATGTTTTAACGGTTGACTCTCTGTTCCTCTCGGCAGCATCTCAAGCACGCCAGCGACTCGCTCAGCCGACGAAACGCCTCGCACTTCCCTCTGGAGCTACCAAAACTCAACGTGGTGATCCCGACACCCACAATCCCTTACCCAGTGTCCAGCTTCCCAGCGCTGAGCGTCTCGCACCGCGGCTCTCTGCCGGCCATCTCCAAAAAGTGCCACTCGCGTCTGACCAAAGTAATCACACCTTTACACCAGCTTCAGTGCATTCATCTGCTCTAGAGCGTCCTGTCTGTGATCTGAATCTCTGTTCTTCTGATTTGAAAAGCCCAAAGAAGAGCCACACCGTTTCAAGAGCAGCTACATGCCTCCGCTGGAGCGCCGTCCAGACGAGTGCTGACCCACTGAACACTGACCAACACGCCTCGCGTCTGCCTCTGGTTCCAGTGTGCTGGCTTCAACAGACTAGACGTCAACATTTACATTACATAATAAAAGTCTGTGCACACACAGAAACACGCCGTTTTCAAACCAGTACAAGCTGATTATTTGCATGGGTTTATTGGCTGACCGATTCAAACGGTCACGATACATCCGTCCCAAATCTGACCTAACTGCAGTTTATTGGTTTCAGATTGTTGAAAACAGATTCTATAAAAATGGATGTAACTAATGTAAGTCTGCTGCTTTCCATTAGACCAGTATTTAACCCAAACCAGACCAATTAATCTCTCTAAACGAGACGGATCTCACGGCAGAGACAGCAAGTGCCATTCGTGCTGGTTGTTCCTGGTGTTATTGCACTTTTTATTATGGGATGAACGTTAAACAGGATCATCAGCAGCGCTGGTTTGCTATTGGAGCCACTGAGACATTTCCACAAGTGGACTTTATATAGTGTTCAATAAAGGGGTTTTACTGTACACTCGTTGCAGATTGCCATGTTTCGACAGCACACTGTAGATATCTGACATTTGTGTTGCCTGTAAATGATCTCACTACTGTATACCGACCACCAGATCTGTAACGGTTCGCTTGATGATTTTACACGAATGCATTTTGGCATGAAATTTACCATTTGCCATAAACTCTACCTTTACATTAGTGTTTTTGCACTTTTTTCAATTATACCAATCAGCATAAATAAAACAGCTTAAATCAAATCAAAACACGGTCTTAGTAACAGAAGTGTCAAATACACATATGGTGAATGTTGGTTTCACCTGCTGACGTACAGTAGAACAAAAATAAATAGATTCTGCGAAATAGGACAAAAACTGTTATTCTGGACCAGCATGAAAAAGCACAAACCCTGTAATAACAGCAGCAGCTCAGCACTAGTTAGTGGTTAGCTGGTTAAAGTAAACTAGTTCACACAACATCACAGCCAAGGACGATACACACCAGACCAAACATCCATGGACTTTTTTTTAATGAAGAACAAAATGTGAAATGCAAAATGTTAACCACATGAATCAAAAATATGAGCACTTCCACATCCTGGTCTTTCCTGGTTAGTGTATATCTCATGAACAATGACTGCTAGTTCACAGAAAAGACTCTGTTAGACGTTTAATAGTGTCACACTGTGAGATTCTACCGATCGCTCTAGTGGCTTTTTCTTAGTAGTACATAGAATAAGTTTGCTGTTGGTAAGCAAAATATGAACTCTGGGACTCTTTCGTAAGGTCTGTTTTCTGCGTCTGCTAGACTTCCTGAGCTTCATGCGTTTGGCCGTCTGTAACAATAGATCAGCGTGATCCTCTTACAGAAATCTCATATCAAAATACATCTGGGGGACTTTTGTACAAGAGACAGGAAAACAAAACTAAACAAACAGAAACCTGCATATTTAAGATTATTTTTAATATCATTATGTCTATTTTTCTGCTTTAGAAATGTCACTATTTCCTGTAATGATGACAGGTCCACTAGAGTTACTGATCATTTGCTTTTGCCCCGATAAATCACTGAATTACAATATTATACATATAATACAAAGCAGATTTTTATCTGAAACAATATTAAAATAAATGCTCAATAGATACAAAGTTTTAATCATAATTCTCCACATTATACCGGTCTGTGAGTCCTCGCACACAAAAATGTAAAGCCATTCTCTTCTAATAAACTATTAAGTGCAAACAAATTTTCTTTAAAAAACTATGATTGCAGCATCCAGCTTTTCAGATTCAGATTTCAAGACAGAGGATATTAAAGCCAAGTGCATCAAGGCCTTCCCCAAACATCTATTTCTTCCTTTTTTGTCTTTTGTGATCCTTTAAAGTAGTTACCAAAACAACAACCTAAATAAAATCAGTGCCAAGTCTTGAACAGCGGGTGGAACCTGTTCCATCAGAAAGAGGGAGAAGGTAAAAGCGTTAAAAGGATCTGTGCTGGAAGCGAGTCTGGAGCCGTGTGGACCACCAGGTCTTTCTCAGCAAACTGAATTCAAGCCCACTGCTTTTCCGCCTGATTAAATGATTGCCCACACCTCAGGCAAGCTTGACATACACAGGAGAAAATAACACCGTGAGATGCATTTGAGAGTGAAAGCAACAAAACAATTCAAATAAATACTCTGTTAGAACAGAAGAAATGTAAGGATCCCCTGCGAACACAGGCCTCCAGAAGCACAGCAAGAGCAGGAGAGGAGGAAAACCAGCGGTTCTGGGAATATCGTGGCTATACTACTGTTCCACTGGGAGAGCTGGCTTGGTTTTGGGATGACAGCAACCCCTGGAAAAAAAGAAGAGAAGACATTTGAACGAAGCCGTATAGTGGAGGAAAAACATCTGACCAAACGTACAGGTCACGGTCATGATCAACTAGTTACAGACCTACCGATATTGGGCTTCTCATTTCAGAGGGACACTTGCATCCTAATACTGAACACTCAATGCATCTAGACCCGGCGCCGGATGCTTAGACTAGTCTTTTAACTAGTCTAGTTTTCTTCAAGACTGCTCATAACTTTTTAAAGTCAGTTAAACGTAGATGAGCCCAATCTGAATCAGAAAAGTAAGACTCTTGGCTAACTGCTAGTTGGTCAAACTAGTTCTTCACATACTGGCTCTTTTATGCAGCTGGCCTCAGAAGTTCCTACACGAGCAGTCACAAGTGTTTGAACCGTGAGATTTGTAATGTGTTTTAAAGAAGTCATCAAGCCTGCATTTATTTGTTCCAAAATATAACAAAAGCAGTAATATTGTGAAATATTTTTACTATTTAAACTAGCTGTTTTCTGTGTGAATATGTGTTAAACTGTAATGTATTTCTGTGATGTGCAGCTGTATTTTCAGCATCATTACTCCAGTCTTCAGTGTCTCATGATCTTCAGAAATCATTCTAATATGCTGATTTGCTGCTCGAGAAACATTTCTGATTATTGTTATGTTGAAAACAGCTGAGTAGAAATTTTCAGGTTTCTTTGATGAATAGAAAGTTTAGAAGAACAGCGTTTATCCGAAATAGAAAACTTTTGTAACATAATAAATGTCTTTAGCATCACTTTTGATCAGTTTAAAGCATCCTTGCTGAATAAAAGTATTAATTTCTATAATTTCTTCCCCCCCCCAAAAAAAAATTATACTGACTGCAAGCTTTTGAATGCTAGAGTGTATAATGTTACAAAAGCTTTTTATTTCAGATAAATGCTGATCTTTGGATCTTTCTATTCATCAAAGAATCCTGAAAAAATTTACACAACTGTTTTCAACATTGATAATAATCAGAAATGATTCTTGAGCAGCAAATCAGCATATTAGAATGATTTCTGAAGATCATGTGACACTGAAGACTGGAGTAATGATGCTGAAAATACAGCTGCGCATCACAGAAATACATTACAGTTATCAGATATTCACACAGAAAATAGTTATTTTCAATAGTAAAAATGTTTCACAATATTACTGCTAATGTTGTATTTCTGATCAAATAAATGCAGGCTTGATGAGCAGAAGAGACTTCTTTAAACGGCTCATCGGATGAAAATCTGACTTTTTCCGTATTTAAGTGCTATAATTGAGTGTTTGGTGCATCTACCAACTCAGAAAACGTAAAAGAAGAACCCAGTAAGTTTGGTTTTGAAAGACTTTCTCTGCAAGCATGTGAGAAAATGAGCCGATCAGATTTCTCTCCTCCTCTGACGTAGGAAGGGGTTCTTATTATATTACCGCCCATTAATCTGCACGTTTCCACCCACAGCGCTCAGCCATCCTTGTTTTCACAAGCGACAGCGGCGTACTTGTTCTGACGCCATGACAAAAGTTTGCAGAAAACATGCTACATGTTTTGTCATTGGCTGCACAGACGAATACAAATCATTATTTAGAGTCCCAGGCTCGGAGGAGACAAGAGAGGACTGGATTTATTTTATCTTTAGTGGAGATCCCGGAAGCGGGGTGGGGTGCAGTGACTCATTATCATTTAAAGAGACATACACCAAAACGGGCTGGTGTGAGCAGAGCTGTTTTTGACAAGGCAAAAAGGGTGTTGTTTACACAACCACTGAGCAAGTGCTATATTAGTATATTATTATAGTGTTATATTTCAATTTCACAAAGAAACATACAGTATTTTGTCCAAGCAATAATAAAAGGACACATTTAATTTATAATTTGTCTTAAATCTCATTTTGTAAAAAAAAAAATCGTGAATCGAATCGTGAGTTGAGTGAATCGTTACATCCCTACTAATAAATTATGCCAACTTGTGGAAAATGTTCATCCGATGAGCCCTTTAAAAAACATGAAGGATTACTGTTAAAGAACTTTTGGCTGGCGGTGTACTCCTGTTCTGGGGATCCAGAGCGCTGCATGCTTCAGTTTATCATCAGGCCTTCAGCTGAAGCGAGAGACGAGCAGCGCTGTGGGAGAAACGAGCGGCTAAAGCAAGCCTCGACTGACTGTGAATGTGTGGAGGAAGTCGCCGCTCGCAGACGGTGCAAAGGAACTCACCACTTTGCCGGGTCTCGCCCACGTGCAAATAAACCCCTCCTGACACGCGGTGACTATACAGTCCTCTAGAAAGATGAGCACAGTGAGTCTCTCGTGCGCGATCTTTTTACAGATGAGCGGCTCGAGCAGCGGCACGTCCTCCATGCGCGGACACAGCTGCGTGCCCAGAGTCTTGGCGGGGTCTGTTTTGGTTTTGGTCAGCAGGTTGAGCTTGTCGCTGCTCTTGCTGCTGATGTGGCCCATGCTGTGGTTGCGCTTGTGGTCTTTGTCGGGGTGCCGCTCTTTGCGGTCGTGCAGCGAGAGCGTGGCGAACTTGCTGACGCCGGCGGCGATGGGATTGTCCGAGGCGGCGCTCTTGCTGTTTCCAGTGCCGGCGGCGGAGTGCGGGAGGCTGTTGGAGCGCGGCAGCGGAGCGGGGAGCACACTTGAGCTGCTGCCGTTGGTGCTGGGGTTGCTGGAGCCGGTGATGACGCTGCTTCCGCTTGCTGTGGCCGGCGGGTCGCTGGTGTTCATCACGTTAGTGTGCGTCCGCGTCCGGGACAGCGGCAGGTGCGGGAACAGAATGTCCTCCGTCAGGTCCCACAGGCACAGCTGAGTGTCCTGCCCCACCGAGCCGAAGCGGTACGTCACGCTCACCGGCCGGCTGTCCGTGGAGTTGCGCTTGGACAGACGAGACTGTGTGCTGTTGGCTCGCTCGCGGCCCGAGTGCATCTGCTCCTGGAAGTCCTCGTCGCTGCCGCTGAACTCCATGGGCTCGCTCTCCTCCACGCTGGTGGTATAGTGGTCAAACGCCACCACACTCACCCAGGACTTATGTCCGTGTCCGCGGGCGATCACGCGGCAGTCTGCGAAGCACCAGACGGTCACCAGGTCGTCCTCGCCGCCGGACACGATGTACTTCCCGTCGGGGCTCCAGCAGACGCACAGCAGGCCGCCGAAGTAGCTCTTCATGGTGCCATGCAGCTCCACTGCGTCGAAGTTGAAGACGCGCAGGAAGCCGTCCTGACTCGCGCAGGCCAGGAACTTCCCGTCGGGCGAGAAGGAGAACTCGTTCAGCACGCCCTCGCCCACAGTCCACTTGAGCAGAGGATTGCGTGTGGACTTGCTCTTGCAGGTGTGAACGCTGTAGCTCTCGCCCTGCTTCAGCAGCTGGTAGTGAGGCGCTGTGGTGCCGCAGGTGTGCTCCACGTTATACAGGTACATGCTCCCGCTGGAGTGAGCCACGAGGAACAGGCTCTCGGAGCCCGGGACCCACTTCACACACGTGACCCGGGATTTATCTATGAGTCTCTGAACAGTTCAGGAGAGACAAGACAGAGAGGACAGGAGATTAAAAGAGAGGATCATGACCAATGTATCCAGCATTTCAATGACACTGCTTTCAATTAAATCAACTCCAGAAAAAGAATAAACAAACATGTCGTCCAGAACACAACAAACACAGATACAGTGTTAGGGCCGTGTGATTCTCACCATGCAGAAAACAGACGACACACACACACACACACACACACACACAGAAATAAATAAACGGCGCACTTTGATTTGCGCATCAGCAGTGAGAGAGCGCCGTGTGCGTGCGCGTGCGTGTGACACTCACGTCGCGTCACCCATGATGCGAAATAACAGCTATTTGACGAAAGCGCAGATAAACGCGCGTCGCGCTCACCTTCCTGACGCTTTTATAGATGTAGAAGTAGAGCTCGCGGCCCACATTGAAGCAGATGCGCTCGCCGTTACCGGACTGATCGTTGACGTTGACGAACGAGACTCTGACGGGGTTGGAGCCCTGCGAGTTGAAGGGCACTCGGTTGGGTCTGCTGTACTCTGAGTGCGTGAGGAGTTTATACGCGCCTTCCCGCGTGCTGAACTGACTCTTGATCTCGTTCATCTCCTTCCCTCCTCCCTCCGCCGCCATCTTTGACATTTACATTCATCCTTCCGCAGCCGGATCTGACGCGCCGCGCATGCGCACTACACACCGGCGCTGCGCGATCAGACGCTCCAGAGATTCTGTCGCCTCAGAAACTTCCCTCAAAGCACATGTTTCCCGTATTACTGAACTGGCTTTGGATGAGCTGTCTTTTTTCATTGTGTTTTTGTCTCTTACTATTAAATCTAATATTAAGTAGAAAAAAATATTTGTTTAATTGCGTGATTAAAATAAATAAATAAATACAACGCAGAAGCATTAGTGACAGTATATGCACATTTACACACACATACATGCAATTCAAAAGAATAAAAAAAAATATATATGATGTCATTCATCAAATATTAAAGTATTTACGAAATCTAAATAAATAACTCTTCCCAAATACAGTCTAATTATTTATTATCCCATCCGTCCTCACACACATTAACTGTTTTGTTTCTTCTACCAATTATTGTGTGAACGTTATTAGTATAATTGACGTCCAAACCAAGATTCCTGATGATTCAATGATCTCCCGTATAAAATTCCATCTGATATTTAAGAATATTTCAGGAATCTCGTTGTTTACCGTGTAACTGGCTTCAAATCTGAAGAAAAGGCCTCGACTGAAGCCCGAACACACACACACTCTCTCAAACACACACACACACACACTCTCTCTCTGTCAATTAGGGTATGTAGAGTGTATATATGGTCTGATGTGCGGTATTTTGGTTGGAAGCCGATTTGACATTTACTCAGGACATTTCTGTCAGTAAGGTAATGAAGGAGTCTGCTGTTTAGGATGTTACAGAAGAGTTTACCTAAGTTGCTGTTCACACATATTCCGCGATAGTTATTAGGGTCGAATTTGTCTCCGCTTTTATGAATTGGGGTGATGAGGCCTTGGTTCCAGGTGCTGGGAAATACACCTGCACTAAGGATGATATTAAACAGTTTAAGAATGGCCAGTTTGAATTTTTGGTCTGTGCATTTAATCATTTCGTTCAGAATGCCATCAATACCACATGCTTTTTGGGATTTAAGTGTTTGTATATTATCGCACAGTTCAGCTAGTGTAACAGGATACGCACGGTTGCACGCAAATTGGCACGATGGCAGAAAGCAGGAAACATAGCGTGGTGTGGTGCTACTTCTCAACAGCGGAAAAAAATATTGCACGATGCAATATTTGTGATGAGAGTCACACACAGCAACAATACAAGCAACCTTTTTAAACAATTGGCAACATTCTCGTTCACCACTCCTGGCTGGTGGAACGATCTTCCCACCTCTAGCTTGTACTTATTTGAACAATGTCTAGAAACTTGGTATTACAAGCACTTCCTGTATCTGTTTGCCTCTTTAAGAAGAATCGCTTTATATATCCCCAAATTGTAAGTCGCTTTGGATAAAAGCGTCTGCAAAATGACTAAATGTAAATGTAAATATAAATTTACAAACAACACACCCTGAAACGTATAAAGAGGCTGAACAAAAACAAACTGCCCAGTCTCCCTCTGTCCAACAAAAGACGTTACAGGAGAGTTTTCAGGGAGGCAAACCCTATCCACGTACAAAGAGCACAGTCATTAGTTAACTTATTTACTGTACTCCCTGTCTCTTTCGTAACCTTTAGGCGAATAAGAATAAATATAAAGTGTGTGTGTTTGTGTGGGGTGTCCTGGTATTCCTTACGTCATAGGGACAAAACGTTACCACAAGTATAGTAATACCAATACATTTAGACTTCCTGAGGACATTTAGTGCGTGTGATTGTGTGTGCGTTTGTGTGGGGTGTCCTGGTATTCCTTACGTTATAGGGACAAAACGTTACCACAAGTATAGTAATACCAATAAATTTTGACTTCCCGAGGACATTTTAGGTCTCCATGAGGGAAAGTTGAAGATGAAGAAAAAATGGTCTGTTCAAAATTAAGAAATAAGTAAAAAGTATGCACAGTTTATGCTGTTGGTATTTTATTTTATTTTATTAAGATTTATGTTATTTAATCAATATTCTTTTGTAAAATATGGAGATAGTACAATAGAATGTTGAAGAATAAGAAAAAACTGCCTGTTTAAAATTAAGAAATAAGTAAAAAAAATATGCACAGTTTATGTTGTTGGTATTTTAGTTTATTTTATAGTATCGGTATCGTTAAAACTGTAACAAAAAGTATCGGTATCGTATCGCATGAAAAAAATGTGGTATCGCCCATCCCTAGACTTCTTTCCCCCGTCAGTCAGGCGACGTGCATGATGGAATGCGGAGGAAGCGGCAGTGCATCAGCGATGTGGAGCTGGAATATGAGGTGTGATTTAGTTCTCTCAGTTTGCTTGGCAATCAGCAAAAAGTGCATATAGTACACCCCATACTGGAAAGCATGGCTTTCTGAGCTCATGTCAAGTCAAGTCAAGTCACCTTTATTTATATAGTGCTTTTAACAATACAGATTGTGTCAAAGCAACTGA